TATTGAACACCTACCATATCCCAAGCACTGTGCCAGTTAACTGGGCCAAAGAAGTGAACAAAGAGTAAATTTGTTAACATTATCATATTTCAGTTTAAACTAAAGTAAAAGGCACACTAGTCTTAATCTAGTGACAGAAAGCAGGGATCAGTCATTGCCTGGGGACAGAGGGAGTTACAGGGAGGGAGTAGGGATTGGAGGGAGCAATTACCAAGGTGCACTTGGAAACTTTTTGGGGGGTAAAGGTTATGTTTATTCTCTTACTGCTATGGTGGTTTTACAGGTATATACATATATCAACATTTGTCATAGTGCACACTTTAAATATGCATGGCTTATTATTTATAAATTATACCACCATTCCAAAAAAAGGCAATGGATTTAATAAGCCTGAGTTTAAATACTGACTCAGTACTTGCTAACTGTACAAATTTGAAAAAAATCACTTAGTGTCTTGGTCTTAATATTTTTCATCTGAAACACTGGCTGGACGTGGTGGCTCACACTTGTAATCCCAGCATTTTGAAAGGCCAAGGCAGGTGGATCACTTGAGCCCAGGAGTTCGAGACCAGTCTGGCCAACATGGTGAAACTCCATCTCTACAAAAAATAGAAAAATTAGCTGGGCGTGGTGACCCACGCCTACAGTCCCAGCTACTCGGGAGGCTGAGATGGGAGGATCGCTTGAACCCAGGAGGTTGAGGCTGCAGTGAGCTGTGACTGCACCACGGCGCTCCAGCCTGGGTGACAGAGTGAGAACCTGTCTCAAAAAAAAAAAAAAAATTCTTTTCCCCAGAGGGATAAAATTTAAAAATGAAATATTAGTAAGAACACTCAATATTAACAATCAATTTTTTCAAAAAAGAGATAATATGATTTGAATGGACACTACCCAAAAAGATATTCCAGAAAGTGTCAGAAAGATATTCCAGAAAGTCTATTGTCAGTATTGTCATGTAACCATTACTGCCTCTTTACTATGATAGTGCCCGGCAAAGGAAGGAACACAGTAGGTCCTCAACAACACATCTCTTTCCCTGCTTCGGCCATCTGGGTGCACAGCCAGGAGGGTCACAGTGAGTCCTCATGTCTGTCTGGTGCTTTAAATTTTCACAAGGCTTCTGTGTTCCTTATCTCAGATCATCCCCACCACAACACTGTGTGGGTAATAAGGCACATCTTACAATGGTCCCACCTCACTGTACACCCGTACCCTGGAGAGGCAAAGCGCATGTCACAGGATCACACAGCAGTCTGTATCAGGGCCATGCCAAGTGGCCAGCACTCCTGGCTCCCAGGTTGGGTTCTGATGGCAAGGAGACAGGCACCTCTCACTCTCCAGCTCGCAAGCACACGACCACCAATCTGGCTTGGCAGTATTTTCTAAAAGTCATCTGGACCCTGCTTCTCTGGGCCATGCAATTCCCAAACTCATGACAGGGAGGGAATCTCATTTACTTCTTATGCATCAGCGACAACTCCTCTTGGGTCGGAGTCTGGGCTGCCCAGAGCCCTGGCATTGTTCCTTCTTTCTCCCTCTGCCCCACTCAAAATATATAGCAATGCTTACCAAAATAATAAGAGTGAATGTGGAGTTTCAGCTGCTGGATTTAATATAGCTGATGTGTCCAGAACACACCCTCCCAAGCCTTATAGGGCACTGGGCCCACTAAGTAAATCCAATAAATAAGTCTTAATTCTGAGCTGATGTTACCATAAATATGCTTGGTTGCAGAAAATGGTCTATTTATGACCCACTCTTCTCCCTGGCCCAGCCCTTCCTCCCAGCCCAAGACCAGCTGCTGGCATGAGGAGTACAGTCCCAGGAACCTGCTGCTGGGCCTCCTCCCCGTTTATGACTGAGATCTCCTCTCCCACACCCACTGGCTTCCTGATGACAGACCCCCAAAGGTCTTTCTCTAGCAACTCCCTCAAGTTCCTCTGACAGAAGGTTTTAATCCTTAAATATATTCTTCCCTAGCAGAACAATTTCCTGTTACAGGAAATTAGGTTTCCTCCCATTGGCTTCAAGTGGGACCTGTAAAGTATCCCAAAATGGTGGTGAGAGCCACAGCCAAGGATGCGGCCATGCCAGAGCCCAAAGCCGATGGCGCAGGTGAAGCCTGCCAGAGTGCACCCCAAGGAGAGAGGGTGGGGCTGGGGCCCACCTCATGCCAAGGGTTACTCACGTCTGCACTTCCACCCATCAGCCACTCACAGCCATCTGTGGGACAACACAGAGGCTGGGAGAAGGTGAGGAGCAGAGTACGTAAGTTCCAGAAACATGCCAAATCTATTCAGCACTATGTGCCAGGCACACGAATGCTATGTGAGCACGCAGAAATGGCAACACCCCCAGGACCCTCGCCCAGCTCAGAGAACTCAGGAGGCTTGCCCAAGGTCATATACCTTGTAAATGGCAGAGCCAGGATTCAAACCCAGACCAGGGCTGAAACATGGGAGATAGAGGCAAGTAGGATGAACAGCGCTTTTTCTGTTATCCCATGCTGCATCACCATTATTAAAAGTGACCATTCGGCTGGGCGTGGTGGCTCATGACTGTAATCCCAGCACTTTGGAGGGCCGAGGTGGGTGGATCACCTGAGGTCAGGAGTTCAAGACCAGCCTGGCCAACATGATGAAACGCCGTCTCTACCAAGAACACAAAAATTAGCTGGGCGCAGTGCTGTGCGCCTGTAATCCCTGCTACTTGGGAGGCTGAGGCAGGGGAATTGCTTGAGCCAAGACTGCACCATTGCACTCCAGCCTGGGTGACAGAGTGAGACTCCATCTCGGAAATTAAAAAAAAAAAAAGTGACCATTCATCAATCACCACATAGTTATTGAACACCTACCATATCCCAAGCACTGTGCCAGTTAACTGGGCCAAAGAAGTGAACAAAGAGTAAATTTGTTAACATTATCATATTTCAGTTGAAACCTATTTTATTTAATACACACACATGCTCTTACTACTGAACTTTCTAGTCACTTTCAGACAAACTTTCTTTTTCAACTTGCCCATTGAGTAGTAATAGTAACAACAGAGGTGGAAGTGACTATGTACCAGGTACCGTGTTGGCCACTTGATGACTGTGACAGAGTGAATTAGTCACCCCTCTCGGCAGCCACACTTTCTGCTCTGTGGCTCTGCCACTCCTCCTACCATGGGTGGCATGTATTTTCTTGTCCCTTGACTTTGGGGTAGACTGTTGACTTGTATTGGCCAGTGGAATATGAGCAGAAGGGACAGACTGCCATTGTATGTCTCTGCCTGTCCTCTTGTACCTCCTGCCATCATCATGGGACCTCCTCCTCTCCCACCTGCCCACCCCCAGGCAGCTACTGCCCCATACGCTGGGCCCAGAAATGAAAACACGTGGAGCAGACCTAAGCCAAATCTGTAGCAAGGAACCAAGCCCAGGTGAGCCACAGAAGCATGAGTAAGCATAAACAATGGATTTAAGCCGCTGGGTTTTTAGAGTGCTTTGTTACGCAACACTAGCTGACTGATGCACTGACTCCACCACCAGTTTTCCCAGTAAACTTGGAGTATCATTATCTCCATAGATGGATTGAGAAACAGCACCTGAGAGTTACCCAACTTTCCTAACTTTTCCCAGACTTAATATAACGTGAAGCCAGCCTGCGTGACTCAGATTCTTTCCCCTAATTCTAAATGGGGCATAGCCCTATGCCCAGATCTTGAATACAATACCAGGATAAGACCTAACTATTTCAGAAGGACAACCTACCTAGAGGCTTTGGAGTCAATTTGCATAAAATATGAACTTACCCCCAAATACTCATTTAGTATTCATTTTTTAAAGCAGCCCCAAATAGCACATTAATAACCCAAAAAACAAACCTCTAGCGTACATTTCACCTCAATTTATTCTATATCTAGACATTTCCCATCTGCTATGTTTAATGGAAAAAAAGGAGCTGTTTTAGACCTCGGGGTTGCCAATGAATGCCCTGAACTCACACTGATACATACACACATGTTCCCAGAACATATATGCTACAGCAGATACGCCCATCTGCCCTTATAGTTTCACATCCTCCCCATCTCTTTCCCTTTGACAGTAATCAAGCTACCCTACTATTCCTGTGTTCACTCACCTGCAATTAAATTTTTTTTTTTTTTTTGAGATGGAGTTTCACTCTTGTCACCCAAGCTGGAGTGCAATGGCACAATCTTGGCTCAATGCAACCTCCGCCCCCCCTGGTTCAAGCGATTCTCCTGCCTCAGCCTCCTGAGTAGCTGCGATTACAGCTGCCCACCACCACGCCCAGCTAAAT